AAAAGTCAATGGCCCAATTTTCAAGCCTCAAAACAAATAATTCGTGCCTAAAAAAACGACCCCAAAATCAGACTTAGTGGATTTTGCATACGCACACTACAGATTTTCCTCATTAAATGATTTTGCTTCCCACTGCAATTTGCTTGTATAATTGCTTGCTTGATTTTTCAGAAAAAAATAAAATAAAAAAATATGATGTATTTTTCTATCTTCGTTAGTAGACTTAGGTAAATTTTAATTTAATTTCAAACAAAAAAATAATTAAGTTCGGATTACCATAAATATGTTGATTATTTATGGTCATGTTACATGTATTAATTGCAATTTAATATCATTCCTTGTTATAACTATTGAATTGTATATATATTTTAAAAGTTAATAACTTTTGTGTTTTTTTATCAGTTTTACATATGTAATATATCAAATTAGTCTTCTTTTGATGAGTTTCGATTTAACATCCATATTGTATGTATAAGAAAATAATTTATATTTGTCTTTATAACAATAATAAAATTAATTTTAATGTTAATTAGAAAAATAAAATTATTTATCAACTAATATATTTATATTTCAAGTAGTTATATTATATAAGTTACAAAAACTAATATAATATAACACATGTAAGTCATAAGTAACACATATCATTCTAAAATATATAGTATTATATTTTTTTTTTTTGTAAAAAAGTAAACTAAATTTAATATAATTTTCTCATTAATTTTAAAATTTTAGAATATTTTTTTAACAAGCACCCGTGTAATACACGGGTGTTGTACTAGTAGTATAGTATTAGGAATAGGGTTAATTGAAATTTAGGTTTATTATTGGTCTTCCTTCCAAAATTTAATTTGGTAAACTTTTTATGTAAAAATGATTTTTTTTATTTATTATTTTGTTTCTAAATCATTTTCTTAAATAAAGAAAATAAAAATATTAATAAGGAAATTGGACCTAAATTAAAGAAAATTTCCAATGGAGTTTGTGTGATGGTAATATTATTCAGATTGTTAGACAGTTATATTTTTTCAACAATTATACTATTTATACTTAAAATGACATGCTTAAAATAAAATACACACAATTATAATATGATTTTTTATTCAAAATGTGTAATCATCTAACATAATATATATGTGTTACACTCACATATTCTTGTAACGATGCAATACGTAATCAGATAATGTTAATTAATAACGAATTTTATTTTGATAATTCATACTTCTGTCAACCGTTGTTCATCCGTATGCCATGTAATAGAAAATAAAAAAATAATAATAATAAAAATGAAGACATTTACTCGTGGCCTAACCGTTAGGCCGACCCAAACATATCATACATAATCCATAACATTAATAACATTAATGACAAAAAATTTATTTCAAACTACAAATGTATTGTTTTTCTGCATAAAAATTGACAAATGTGCACCCAACTAATTAAGAGTTGATCAAAAGGTAAAAATTGACACATTTAATTGAAAAAAAAATATGATTCCAAACGGAGCTTTTGACTCGTAATGAAATTATAGATGCCCTTTTTTTTCTATTATCTTTAGTCATAAACTAGTTATCATCCTGTGCACATGCACAGATGTACATAAAATATTATAAGTAATATGTGTGAATTTAATATTAAAATTATAGATGATAAACATATCACATTTCCAAGATATGTGAATTTAATATTAAAATTCTAGAAAATAAACATATCACATTTTCAAGATATGTGAATTTAATATTAAAATTCTAGATAATGGACATACCACATTTTCAAGATTTAATCATTAGTAGAAATAAAATAATATTTATATAAACTATTTGAGTACATATGAATCACTATATTGATTAAAAAAAATTGTGGGTAATGTAATTTTATAATTCGGAGGGATCATGGTCAAATAATTTACTTGAAAACTTTATTATTATTATTATTATTATTATTACTATTATAATAATTATTATTATTACTATTATTATTACAACGACAATTGTTTATAAGATTTTAAAGGTTTTTTACTATACTGTTAAAACTATTTACTAATTATTTCTAAAGAAAATTGTTTTATGAAATATAAAATTAAAATAATAATAATAATATCATTCATAAAACCTCATTAAGTGTAATCATGTATTTATAAAACATAATTAATAAAACCTCATTTATTTTCCCTCAAAAATAAGTTACAAAATTTGTCATTCTTATTTTGCCTTCACATTAATACACCCTACTAAGTGTAATCATGTAATTTTTTGCTATTATATTATATAATAGTTAATGCTATTATCAACTCATAACATTTCACACTAAATATAAATTACATAAGTATAAACAGTTTTATTGTTTCAAAATATTATTATTATTAATGTTATTATTATTATTATCATTATTATTATTATTATTATTATTATAGTAGTTAATGCTATTTTTTGCTATTATATTATATAATAGTTAATGCTATTAATTTTTTTACATGATTACACTTAATAGGGGTATTAATATGAAAGGCAAAATATAAATGACAAATTTTGTAACTTCTTTTGAAGGGAAAATAAATGAAGTTTAATTAATTAAATTTTATTTATGAGATTTTATTTAATGATTAGCCAACAATTATATATATATATATATTATTAAAAAATAATTGTTTATAAGATATTAAAGTTGTTTAACTATGCTATTAAAACAATATACTAATTGTTTTTAAAGAAATATTTTTATGAGCTACAAAAGAAAAATATAATATTGATGTTAAAATACATAATTTGAAACAATTGTTTATAATTATGTAATTTATATTTATTGTGAATTATCATTAGTTAGTATTAGCAATAACTATTATATAATATAATAGAAACATACATGATTACACTTAATATGATGTATTAATGTGGGAAGTAAAAATTATTAATGTTAAATTTTGTAACCGAAAATGGAGGGAAAAAAGTTAGAGGTTTTATTAAATAGGTTTTATTAAATGCTATTGGCTAGTAATTATATATATATAGATTACTCTATTGTATTTGAAAAGTAGAAATTAATAAATAGGATCTTTGACAATATAACACGTTTTGCTTACAATTTAGGATCTCATTCTAAGATTTATTTGTGTGACAACACTGCACAAAGTATAGTGGATATAATTAACTAAATATTTAACATTAACAACTGATAAATTAATTCATAGTTTTGTAAGTTATTTTTTTTTTTATGTGATAGTTAATGATTAATGATTTAAAAACTACATAGGTATTTGACAAGATTAGACAATAAATCATGTACAATATCTCAATTGATTTTGCATAAGACACTACCTCAAATACCAAATATCAAAGTTTTTCATAAGACACTACCTCAAATACCATATATATGTATTTTAAACTCACCCCACAAAATAAAATTTATTCAAACACAAGAACAATTTTGCCAAATTTCTTATGTATGTTATTGTATGGAACCATTGACAACAAATCTTATAATTTATCCACAATTATTCACAAAACAGTATACATATAGCCTTAAAATAAACAAATATGACAAAACATGAATGATATGTTCAATAAACTTAACTGGAAAAACTGTTTAATAACCGATAAGTTATATGATAGTATATGAGTTATTTCGAATTATTAAATGACGTGATCGCTCAAAGCTAACCAATATAATAAAAACGACATAATTAACCAATAAATATCTTAAAAAAATAAATTCTCAATTTGAGAGATTATCTCGACACACTTATCGAAATTTCTATAAGAAAAACTAACGCCGAAACATTTTTGTTTTCGAATACAAGAACTTTACACGCTAGTTTATTAGCGGATTGGATACCTTTTAGAGGGTTGACCGTCAAATCCGTCAATTAATTTATTTGATAACTAACTTGCTTGGTTATGAAGAAATTCATCGAGACAATGTTTTGAAAAGGGTTGATTCAGAAGAAGGCAATACGACGTAACATCTATTAACTTCAACTGCTTTCTTATATGCTATAACAACTAATGGAATACGATATTCAAACCGGCTGATTCAATTCACTATTCCTTAGTTATCAGCCATCCGCTAGAAGTTAATTGATACAAGAGAATAGAATTTCTCTATTTAACAATTGACAAACACACCTTTAATAAATGATAAAAAATAAAAAGTAAAAAAAAAATAAAGATGGAAGATAATATGACTAACAAGATTGGCCTAAAACTGAGGCAAGATTAAGTTAATCCCCATCAAAACAACTAACCTAATCCACGTTTTCTCTTTCATCCACCCCAATTTTCTGCACCCTAGTCAACTTCCTCCATTTCACGCCGTTACATTTTCAAAAAGCCACCAAAAATACAGAAGAAAAAACAAACACACACACACACACACACACACACACACACAGTTGACTGTCACACACACCTACTCCGTATTCATCCAAACCTCTGAAAATGTACACTACTTTCTCTCTCTATACAGTCCGTTGATTTCTTTTCTCTCTCTATAAGTGCGTGTATGTATGTGTGTTGGGCTCATTGGCAATTTGGCACGCCGCTGTTATTAATATATTGAGAAAAGCTTGCAAATTTAACGGCATATTCCCCTCATCTCTCTCTCTCTCTCTCTCTCTCTCTCTCTCTCTCTCTGCTTTTCCCTTTCTATCTGTCGCTTTATGGTTATTTTGGGTTTTGAGAAATCTTCAAAGCAATTTCCTATTTATTTGCTCGATTAATTGAATTTAGGACCTGTGAAAGCGCAATTTTTTTTCTTCCCCATCTGCATTTGCTTGTTTGTTTTTTTGATTTGATTCTGACCCTAATTTCGACCCACCACAGACAATTTCTTGAAATCCTCAGTGCCCCTCTGCTTTTTTCACCGTTCTTATTTGAAATTTTCATCTGGGTTCTTGAACGGCCGGCGGGATGGTGGTGAAGATAATGAGATGGAGGCCGTGGCCGCCTCTGATTTCAAGGAAATACGAGGTCAAGCTCGCCGTGAAGAGGGTCGAGTGCGGCGATTGGGTGCCTGAGGGTGTGGAGAAGGATGGCGGCTCCCTCGCGGTGGAGATCAGGTGGAAGGGCCCCAAGATTTCTCTTGGCTCGTTTAGGAGGACTGTGAAGAGGAACTGTACCAGAGAGGAGGCTGTGAAGAGTGTCGAGGACGGGCAAAACGGCGGCGTTTTGGCGGTGGAGTGGGATGAGGAGTTTCTGAGCGTCTGCGGGCTCTCTGGCTACAAGGACAATGTGTTCCATCCATGGGAGATAAATTTTACTGTTCTGCAGGTGAGATAATTTTTTCATTTCCTTTATTACTTTGTTATTGATTCCATTATCTTGGCCTCATTGAAAATGAATGTTATTGAGTTTTGTTTTTGGGGATTTGTTGGATAATCCTTTTTAATGATGTTTGTCTACTGTTCAATTTGCAGCTTCCTTAGCAGCTTCAATTTATGCCCTTTATTGGGTATGATCTAAGTGTATGGATACCGATCCGTAGTTGCTACTTTTGGAAAACAAACATTTAGGAAGAAGATGATAGAATAGATCTGATAGGAGTTTAATTATAGTAGATGTTGATAATTTTGTTGTTTTCTTCTGTTAGGATTCTTTTCACTGGTTTTCTTCGCCAAAAGTTCAATTTTTAGCTGTGTAACATGTGTCTCAATTGGTGACTGTGTCAACTTTATTGTTCTCTTTCTGGCTTTGTTATATGAAGTGGGCTTCTCACTTTTAGGGACATGTTTCTCTTGAGGCTTGTAGTTAGTTTTGCTCACTGTGATGCTGTAGCTCTACTAGCGGATGTTCGTTCTTCTTTTCAACTGAAGAGTAGAGAATACCCTGCCGTGGCTGATTAGTAATTAGCCCTCCATCCATTTTACTTTTATGGGCCTTGTTGAAGAGATAGTGGAATTTGACATGGTTTTCTTTTGGTAAACAATAATATCTTTCATCTTTGTGCTGCTTATAGGGTTCCTGATGTTATCAGCCTATAGGGTTTGGTTTGTAGTAGATTTTACATTTTCTGAAAATAATCAGTTTCTGCAGTGTGAAAATTTGCTATTGATCTCATGGCTGCTGAATGGATAGTTGTGTGACTAAGATGGTAATTTGTCGAAGGAATTCTAGATAATCATATCAAATTGTCAGCCGTTCCTTAATTGGACTCTAAACAACTTCTGTCAGCTAGAAGCCTTATATTCTGTTTTTCACGTTGATAGTTAGAAACCCATCAATTTGAAAGTTCAAGTGGAAAAGTACGATCTAACTGACTAATGTCATGGTACAATGATGGACGTGGAGGTCAACATATTGTGTGATCTTTCAGGTCCAGTTTAATTTAATGATGCAACTTGTCTAGTTTCATGGGATCAAATGTTACTTAAATGGCAGATGTAGCATCTGCCTATTTAGGTTTATGATTCACTGATTGTTTTCAATTTTGTAGCTTGCTAGTCTGCAAAAGCATAAGTTTGTCTCACGGTCTTTATTTAGCTCTGCTGATTGTCATAAATATCTGCTTTTTTTTTGATTCATTCTGTATGGAAGAATTACATCATCTGATTTGGTATCAGGGCCAGAATCAAGGTCTAAAGAACAAGATCTCTGTTGTTGGTACCTTAAACCTTGCTGAATATGCTTCCAAGAGTGGAGATCAAGTCATTGAAGTCGAGATTCCACTGACAGTCGCTGTTTCAATCGAGCGCCCTCCAATGCTCTACGTAAGTAACTGTGGATTTAACCTGTTATTATAATCTTAAATGTACCTATAGCTTGTGTTTCGTATATGAAAGCCTTTCCATGATTCATCTTTTCAAACCCTTGAGATTTTTTGTTTTTCTTTTACAATTTCTGCTCCCTTTAGCCTGCGAGATTCACTAGCTAGAGACATGACTCTATACATGATCTGTTCTTTAATTGTTTTTTCTCTTAAAAGAAAAAAGAAGAAATTACTGACGAAAAGGCACTAAATGGTCTTTATTTTATATTTCAGATAACCCTCAGCTTGCTTGAACTCATACCCGCAACACAAGACCCGTCCGAGTCTGTTCAAACCTCAATAGTGCCCCTCCCGTCCCCACCGGCGCCTGGAGAAACCTGTAATTCTCCCGAGAAGGATGAGGTATCGGCCCTCAAGGCCAGCCTGCGAAAGGTCAAAATATTCACCGAGTATGTCTCAGCCAGAAGAGCCAAAAAAGCCTGTCTCGACGAGTACAACAGCGAGGAAAGGCGCTTGTCCAAAAGCGACGAGGGTGAATATTCTTACCCGTTCGACTCGGACTCGCTCGACGAGTCTGAGGAAGGGGGAGAATCTGACATGGCAAAGGAGGTCTCGGCCGTAAGGAAGTCGTTCAGCTACGGGACTTTGGCTTTCGCGAACTATGCAGGCGTGTCGTATTATTCTAATACCAGGGTTACTAATGAAGACGAGGATTGGGTTTATTACAGCAACAGGCGGAGATCGGATGTGGGGAGCTCGCGCGAAGAGGATCTTGTCCCGGTTGTTACCGACCAGCCGCCACTTGTTCAGAGCTCAAAAAGGAGTTTGCTGCCTTGGAGAAAGAGGAAGCTGAGCTTTAGGTCGCCAAAGGCGAAAGGGGAGCCGCTGCTGAAGAAGGCGTATGGGGAGGAAGGTGGGGACGACATTGACTTTGACCGGAGGCAGCTGAGCTCGGATGAGTCGGGCTCGTTCGGGGTAAGAGATGTTGTGTGCTTTTTTTTTTTTT